TCCCGAAACGAAAGAGTAAAAGGAGTACAGCAGCAGCAGCAAGTAACGCGACACGCGCGGAGTCCCGCGCGCTACCACCTGCACGCAAACCCTAAACCCTAAACCCTAAACCCTAAACCCTACACCCTAACCCTCGAGCGAGGGCGCGCAGCCGAAGCAAGGGATCCTGAACTCTAGATCTGGGGATGTCCAGTCCGGGGTCCTGAGGCCTAGCCTCTAAACCCTAAACCCTAAACCCTTAGCCTAAACCCTAAACCCTAAACCCTAAACCCTTACCTTTTGGTGATTCACGGGCGGGGCCTTCTCCCCCGTACTTACTTCGACGCCCTCCATTTGACAAGAAGGTGGGGTTGTTGTTATTGACTTCAAACCGCAAAACCCTCGAGAATTCGCGGCGAACCCTCCGCCTCAAACCCCAAACCCTAAACCCTAAGCCCTAAACCCTCAGCACTAGACCGGGATACGTAAAAATTGCGGCCTTCGGGCCCCAGAGCCTTCCACAAAGTAGCAGCAGGTAAAGAGCCCTCTTCTGTAGCTTCGGCCGTTAACTGGTGGGGGTTTAGGGATTTGGGTTTAGGGTTTAGGGTTTAGGGTTTAGGGTTTAGGGTTTCAGGTGCGATATCTGTGCACGAGCCGCTCGAGGGGCCAGCCGCGGCTGATTAACCAACTTTGCGGTCCCCAAACCCTAAAAAGGGGTATAAAAAGAACTTAAAAATGAAAACAATCTAAAAAGGGGAAAACAAAAGTATAAAACCTTAAGCTCTAAGCAGCAAACCCGTGCAGCTACTTGAGGCAGCAGCAGCAGCAGCAGAAGCAGCAGCAGCTGCAGCCCCGCAGGGGCCCCCCATTTGTTTACTTGTTTGTCTTTCTTTTACTTATTTATTTATTATTTTTAATTTCAATTTATTTCTCTTTTTATTTACTTTTCATTTTGCTACTGCGCTGCTGCCACTTGTTGCGCCCCCGGGACAGTCCGCTGCGCGTCGCGAGCTTCAAGGGTTTAGGGTTTAGGGTTTAGGATTTAGGGTTTAGGGTCTAGGGTTTGGCCCTGGGGGATTTTCTTCTGCATTTTCGACCTCCAGCTTCCCCTGAGGACTCTGCTTCAGCCGAAGCAGGCGCCTGCCGCGCACTAAACCCTAAACCCTAAACCCTAATTCCAAAACCCTAAACCCTAAACCCTAAACCCTAAACCCTCTCCCGCCGTGGGCTGTGCGCCGCCCCTGCATGCCCGTCGCTGCAGCTGGCAGCCTCGGGCTCCCTGAGCCGCAGGCTAGGGTTCAGCGCCTAGGGTGTAGGGCTTAGGGTTTAAGGTTTAGGGTTTAGGGTTTAGGGTTTAGGATGTCGCGGTTTGTGAAGGCCTACTTGAAGGCCAAGAGGCTAAACTACCGCCAAACCCCCTTGCCCTTCACTCCCAAGTTTTTGGAGTTGAGCAAAGAGCCTTCAGTGCCTCCTCCTTTAAGAGAAAGGGTATTTCATTATTTATTTATTTAATTAATTAATTAATTAATTAATTAATTAAATTAATTAATTAATTAATTAATTAATTAATTAATTAATTAAATAATGAAATACCCTTTCTGTGGTTTCGCGTTGACGGGGTTTGATTTGCTGCGCGCTGGATGATTTAGGGTTTAGGGTCTAGGGTTTAGGGTTTAGGGTTTGGGGTTTGGGTTTGGGGGTTGCGGCTGCAGCAACAGCCGCAGCGTGTGGACTTGGCGAAGCACTTGAACATAAAGGAAGGAGATTTGGTGGAGGTATGACAACAAGGGTTTAGGGTTTAGGGTTTAGGGTTTACGGTTTAGGGTTCTGGGTCACAGCCCAAAGATCTACATTTGGGATTTGGGTTCGAACTCTGGGCCCTTGAACTCGGGGGCCAGGGGTGAGGGTTGCTCTTCTAGGGTTTAGGGTTTAGGGTTTAGGGTTTGGGGTTTAGGGTTTAGGGTTTGTGGCCCCGTAGGTGCTGCACGGCCGCGACCAAAACCGCCGTGGAATTATTTTGAAAATAAACCACCGAAGAAATACCGCAATTGTGGAGGGATGCAATCTTGTAGGTGTTCTTAGCAGTGGCTAGCTAGCTAGCTAGCTAGCTAGCTAGCTAGCTGGAGAAGCAAGTAACAGGCTAGCTAGGCAGAGTAGTCTCTAAAGGGCTGGCTAGGCAGCTAACTAGCTAGCTAGCTAGAGCGGGAGCTAAGGGGCCAGCTGGCTAGCTAGCTAGCTAGCTAGCTAGCTGGCTAGGGCAGAAGCTAACAGGGTAGCTAGCTAGCTTGTTGGATTTCTGGCTAGCTAGCTAGATAGGGCAGTAGCTAGCGAGCTGCTAGTTAGCTAGAGCACCAGCTAGTAGTTGGCAGGCCGCTGTTTTAGCTAGCTAGCTAGCTAGCTAGCTGGGTAGCTAGCTGGCTAGCTGGCTGACGCTTTGGCTAGCTGGCTGTTGGTGGAGCTAGCTAGCTGGCTAGCTGGCTGCCTGCAGCAGGAAGCTTCTGACTGGCTGATGCTGCAGATAGCTAGCTGAGTAGAACAGTAGCTAGCTGGCTAGGTGGATTCATGGCTAGCTGGCTAGCTGAAGCCATGGATAGTTGGCTAGCTAGAGCCATGGCTAGCTGGCTAGCTGAAGCCGGAGGCAGCAGATTTGCCAGCTAGCCAGTTGGCCAGCTGAGTATAATTTGATTTAATAAATATAATTTAAATTAACAAATTAAATTAAATTAAATTAAATTAAATTAAACTTTTTTTTCTTTTCTTCGTTTTGAGTTTAGCTTTCGCACTGTTCGCTTTCTTTCTGTGTTGAATCATCGAAACCAAGCGGCGAAAATGCGAAACTGGGGCATTTAATTTGAATTTAAATGTTAAAATAGTTTAAATTCTGTTTTTTAATTGTTTTTAATTTCTTTTCTTAATTTATTTCTCTTTTTTTGCAGAAAAGAAGCTTCTGGAGTCCTCGAGTTGGCGGTCCTTCGCTAGCGACAGAGGAGCTGCCTATACACCTCACGAACTTGGCGCTCCTCGACCCCATTGTCAAGTCCGAATTATTTATTTGAGTTATTTTAATTATTTTGATTGTTTTAATTATCTACTTACTTTATTTGTTTTATTCATTTTATTTATTTTGCTTGTTTTAATTGTTTTAATTGCTTTATTTGCTTTATTTTGCTGTTTTCGCGGCTTATTTGCATTTCTTAGTTGTTTAGAATCCGTTTGCCAGGCACTGTTTACATTTGTTATACAATATTTATTTATTCATTTATTTATTTATTCATTTATTTATCTATTCATTTATTTATTTTTTTATCTATTTGTTTATTTATTTATTATTAGGAGGCCAACTCGAGTCAAAAGGAGGTATATGATGAATGGAGAAGTAGTTCGCATTTCTAAACTTTCCGGTAAATTCTTTTTCTAACTTTAATTTTTTAATTTGTTTTTAATTTATTAATTTATTTTTAATTTGTTTTTGATTTAATTTTAATTTATTTTTAATTTAATTTTAATTTCATTTCATTCATCACTTTTGGTTAATTTCGTTTGTCTTCTTTTTTATTTTATCTTTTTAGTCCCATTTTTTGCCTCCTTTTCATTTGCTGCCGCTGCTGCTTTCTTTAAATTGAATTTATTTATTTATTATTTATTTTGCAAACCTATTCATCTTTTTCGTTTTTTATTTTCGTTTTATTCCCTCAAATTTATATATTTTAAAATAGTTGATTTGTTTCTTCTCTTATTTTGTTACATATGTTTCTTTATTTAATTTGATATTGTTATTTGTTTATTTGTTTTCTTTTTATTCCCTTTTATTATTTGTCTCTCTTCCTCTTCATTTCTTACTTTGTCTCCTCCGGATTTATAAGGGTTTAGGGTTTAGGGTTTAGGGTTCAGGGTTTGGATTTCTGGCTTAGGAACCCCGGTCTAGGGAGTAGGGCTTAAAAGTCCAGGGTCAAATTTCAGGGTTTAGGGTTCAGGGTTCAGGGTTCAGGGTTTAGGGTTTAGGGTTTAGGGTTTAGGGTTTGCGCAGGCTGTGCAATGCCTGAGCCTCTGACTCCGCTTCCGAGGCCCCCCAGTCTTTATCAGCAGTTTTTGAGGGAGAAAGCGAAGGGCCCTCCTATCAAGGCACGCCAAACCCTAAACCCTAAACCCCAAACCCTA